ACTCAGTTGTATGTGTCATTCAAACCTGACTACCCATGCGATCAATGTGAAGCGATCTCGGTAATGGAAAGCTGTGTCAACGATCTTCGGAAATGGATGATTCAAGATAAACTGAAACTAAATGACGGTAAAACTGAACTGTTAATAATTGGATCTAAGCAGCAACTGCAGAAACTTAACCCATGCCATGTACGTGTCGGGAATGCTGATGTCCTTCCTGTACCAATAGCTCGTGATCTAGGATCATGTCATATAACAAAGACATGTGGTGCCGCATTCTATTGGCTTCACAACATCAAACGCATCAGCAAGTTTTTATCTCGGGAAAATCTGTTGACTGTTATACATGCCTTTGTTACAAGTCGACTAGATTATTGTAATGGTCTCCTGTATGGTTTACCTAATACTGAACTGATTAAGTTGCAGAGGGTTCAAAACGCCGCTGCAAGATTAGTGACTTCAACACGAAAATACGATCACATTACACCTATATTACGTGAACTACACTGGTTACCTGTGAAGTTGAGGATCCATTTTAAACTGCTATTGCTTACTTTTAAAGCTTTACATGGAATGGCCACAAAGTACATGGTAGATCTACTTGTTGTCAAAGTGGAAGGAAACTACCTTTTACGCTCTAATGATAGCATAATGCTAGAGTTCCCTCTAAGGGTAAATTTTTACGGTCATTTGGCGACCGATCTTTCACTGTGGCAGCTGCGAAACTTTGGAATGAACTTCCGAAAGAAATTCGTGACATTTCGTCAATAAGCGTTTTTAAAACTTGTCTTAAGACTCATCTTTTTAAACTAGCTTTTAGTATTTAGTTTATATTAAAGTTAACATTTCAACATTTTAATACGCTTTTAACATTAGTTATATTGTAATACAGCGCTTTTGATCATTATATGTAAAAAGCGCTTTATAAATTATTAAATTATTATTATTATTATAAGCCAAACTGAACTGCTGACCGTCGAGAAAAATCAAGTTTTGACAAAATATTAATGTGGCACATACTGTTATTACCTTCTTATACTGTAGTTACCTTCTTATACTGCCCAATAGATATTTCCAAAAAAACTTGAAAAGGTTTTCGCTGCTTCGCAAATGCTAGTACTTCCACTTTCCAAAATCAAAGGTTTCTTTTTTATCGAAATTTTCCTTCAAAAATATCGCCATTTATATATTTTCGATTAAGGCGATTTAATAAACAAGACGTCTTGGTATTGCTAAACCAAAGCTGCTAGAACTGTAAGAACAAAATCGTCCATCTGTGAGTATTAACTTTGCTTTCTAAACGTGATTGTAAGCAAGTTTGACTTGAAATAGCGTTTCAATTCGGTATTAGGCAGCAAAAAACCGAAATGTCGGTATATCGGTATTTTTGTGGCTAGCCCGTTTGCGGGCTAGCCATTATCACATAGTACACAAACGCGATGAGCGATGATGATCATGGTGTCCAGTCCGGATTTTCGTAAAGTATCGGAAGCGCCCGTATTTTTCTGCCGACATTTCACATTTGCATTTCGAGGCATTTGATGATTTTGATCCAGTTTGAGGACTTCTACTTCTACACAAGCATGAGCAGCATATCGCGTTATTCCTTGTGCTGTGCATGTTCCTTTGAGCAGCATATCGCGTTATTCGTTGTGTTCCTTTGAGTAAAAGGTATATTTGCTCATTTCTATTTTTGTATAAATTTGCTTTTATTGTATTATTTACAACGCCATTTTGGCTTGCTCTGGTCAAAGATATATTTTTGGTCCGAATATAGCGAAGTCGACGTATCAAATCAGAAATACAGTATACAAAGGAGCCAAATCAAAAATTGAAAAATACAATATTACACATGAAAGGGCCCATTGTGCTCGTACTGATCATACAGGGGCACAGGGCTATTTACAGTACGTGAAAGGTCACGTACCAAACAAAAACAAGCCAAGAAGGCCAGGAGTATTGTAGGTATATTGCAAACCAATTGCCATTTGTGCTGGGATTAACTACCTTAGTAAAAGATTAACTATATTAGTAAAAAAAAACTACCTTGACTTAATTGCTAATGTAGTCACAAGAACAACCTTGACTATTGCTATAGTACAGTGTCAGTAGTCCATGTAGATGAAATTATTTTAGTAATTTTGTTAGTATTTGCATTTTTTAGTATATATCTCCTTGGATGTATAAAAATTGTTGTGTTCATCATCTAAATGTGTTTTCACATTCCTTTTGAAACTATTTGCTAAAACACCCTCTGGGTATAATAAGCATTCAGCAAGTATACCCGTATTCTTGGGTTTCATATGACCTCACAAAAGTGACGGGCGGTCAACTCTAAAACAAAACACAGTAATCAGAGTGAGTCGATTGTTCGTTTTATGTATTAGCCTTGTGTTCAGTGGCAAATACATGGAATTTCGTATCATTTTCTCACTCCATTACAGCATAAGCATCAATACATTTGAGGTTGACCCCCCGTCAGATTCAATGCATAATGCTGTAGTGAAACCCAAGAATAGGCAACCCCTTCCGTTAAGCACCCTCCGGGTATAAGCACCATCTGGGTTTAAGCATCCACTGGGTATAAGCATCCACTGGGTATAAGCATCCACTAAGTATAATCTACAGAATTTGCTAAAATTAAGACAAATGCAAAACTCAGAAATGTGTGAAATGACTTTACTTTCTCTTTATATTTTCCATACTAATTTTGCAGTCAATATGCTTCATTTGACCTGTAACATGAACAGCCCCTACAATATTGGTTAACCCATTGAGCCGCAATGTTCCCCAGTGCGCCCTACTTTTTTTACCTGTCCAACGCCGGACGATTTTATTCGTCAATGGGGAAGCTTTGCAACTTAATGAGCAGGGAAAAGTAATCTTTCAAAAATGTGTTCAAATAATGCTGGAAATGTCATTTCAGAAACCCAAATTTTAAGACATTGAGGGAAGGGTGTATGATGCTGGAACTCTACCATTATTAAAGTTAGCCTGCGTGTCTTCTTATTACTATTAAAGTTAACCAGCATGGCAGGCTCTCTGGGTTTGGAGGAGGGTTTGGGGAGTTAAAGTTTACCAGGCTAGCCACATGTACGCATTGCGTACCTATTTTTAAATTGTCAATATCGCCATACCGGTATCTAAACAAATACCGGTATACCGGATATATCCGGTATATCGATCCACTCTAGGTCTTTGTGGTTACTTGAGTGTGTGCTTTGCGCGCACTGTTTGCCTGCGAATCGGGCCTTTCAGAACCGGAAATCAGACTGGGGGCACGCATTCGTTCTTTTGATTGCCATGGCGAAAGAAGCATGACAAATGGCAAAATTTGCACGGTGCCCGTTTGCAAAAACAATTGCAAACTACTCTAATTCTATCTGTCACTTTCATTTGATCTCATCTGTTAGTCTGCCTTTGATTTTCCATTGGAAGTGCTAGCGCAACTTGAATTTCCTCTATAATCTAGCCTGTCTCCCATTTAGCATTATATCATCAGGGTACGATAAATCAAGATTTTTAGTTGGACTTCACATGTATATAGTACAATGGTGATGTTGGACAAAAAAACACCGACAAAATACGTATTTTCTAGCTCATTATGCAATATGTGATGTAAATTTGTTTGTATTGCATATGAAGAAAACTAAATAATCTTACCAGTGTAAATCCATCCTAAATGAAAAGGGTGGAAACTGCAGATGAGTGACAGGCATTCCTTGAATTTAAAACCATAGTCAACTACAAATTTAGCACAAACAGACTCGGCGGGCTTGCAGGATTTTTTATCTCCAGGTTGTTCACCCAGGAAGAAAATTATTTTTTCCAGCCCTGCGAAAATCTGTGAAATACGTTACTTTATACTTTTGGCAATCCTTTCAAATGGGATAATAAAAACATGTCCTTTTAAATAAATTGATGTTTTCTCGGGTGATAGAATCTTTCCCGCGCATGGTGGTTTGAATTTGTTGAGCCGTGTTCTACACTGCAAGCTTTATAGTTTTAGCTGAAGCTGATTTCAGCCAATCTGGCCCAATAAGTGGAACAAAAATCGTCCCAATGTGAGGTCAAGGCTTGCAATGTAAACTACTAAACACCACTTTAAACCCATTCTTATCGAACTTTTTATTTCCTAGGCAACTGTTCTGGAAGAAATGCCACCATTTCCGGAGCGAGAAAGTTCTCTTTTAGCGAAATTGAAAAAGAAAAAAGCGCTGGCCGCAGGTATAACCGAGGAAGAAGTGGTTGAACCTGCCAAACCAACAATAAACGGCCATGCTAGCCCAGAACCAGCTGCTACACCATCGCCAGCTGTAGAATTACCGGCGACTAACCCTCTGACGCTTAATAACCTAAGTCCTCCATCCCTGGTACAAAATAATGCAAGTGCTGGTTTACTTGTTGATGTGTTTGAAACTAGCTCAAGTACAGTCCACAGTAGTGCGCCAACTACGTTGTCTCCTGGTGCTGAGGAAAATCTTAAAAAGTAAGCCTAACTTGAAGCGGTTTTCAGGGTATTTGGTTCAAAGCCATATCTTCATCTTTTGGTACAAAAACGCGAATATGATTTTAAAGCACGATAAGCGTTTCTAAACCATATCCCTGTTTTGACGCGAAACGCAGATATGACTTTAATAAATAACGTTCTATGACAACATGACTATACATTAAAGCCGTCTTTCCATTAGGCGGAATTTTGCGCGCGGAGCGGAATTTTTCTTTGTCTTTTCTAATTAGTTCCACCCGAGAAATCACAAGACAAAGAACTAGGGGTGGACCGGAACCAATTTTTTAAGTTCCGGCCGGAACTGGAAAAAAGTTCCGGCCGGAACCGGAACTGATCCATTAAGCTATATATAGTCATATGTTACTTTGTCTGCTGCCAGACAGGCAGACACTTCAAGTCACCAAGGAGAGAGCTCGCAAATGTTAGAATAAAAAGATTGACAAAAGTCATAATGAAGTGTTAATAGTGTACATTCTCTTTGTGTAGTCCAAATTAACTCAATGCTATTCAATAAATAAATTTGATATTCTATCTCTCTAGAAACGACAGAGTTCCGGTTCCGGCCATACTTTTTTATTAGTTCCGGCCGGAACCGGAACTCTGAAAAATTGGGGTGCACCCCTACAAAGAACATTTCCGCTCCGCGCGCAAAATTCGGCCTAATGGAAACCGGCTTAAGGACATTTTCCATTGCGGTCACTTTGTCCGCGCGGGTGGTGCGACCAATTTTAATCACGTGAAAAATCAGTCGCGCGTGCACGCCAAGAAAGTTGAATGTAGTTCTACTTCATGGCGTGTCCGCGAGCAATGAGGCGGACAAAAAATGCACAGGTTAGACAACTACAGAGAAAGTTGAGTGATGTTCAAGCGAACATCACTCAATTTCCAATGGAAAATGGCCTTTAAGCCATTGATCCGTGCGCCATATTATCCAAAACAGTTTAACATTTTTGGGTGAAGATTGATATCATATTCACTCACCTATAACGTTTATCGCTTATCTTCAGGTTTGTCTGCAAAAATACTGGTGTGGTTTTTGAGAATGACATTCTGCAAATTGGATTGAAATCGGAATATAAAGATTACTTTGGTAAGTTGTTATTACGTTCAGGGCTGCAAATAAATATTTGACTTGACAGGACATTTGTCCGATCACTTTTAATTTTCGTCACGAGACAAGTATGTATAGTCACGAGACAAGTATGTATAGCCATTCCGGCGCAACGTTAAGTAAAATGCTAGAATACCTCGTAAGTTTTATTGCAAAATGTAAATTGAGTGAATTTGCAATCGGATTTTGTCAAAGCAAAAAAATGTTTAATGTGACAATGTATTTTTTTGATCGGACCAATGTCCGATCAAAATTACTTTTGCTCGGACATTTGCCAAATTTAGTCGGACCTTGTCCGATGTCTAGTTGCTATTTATCCATTTTATGCATGCGATATTGGTAATTTAGAGCACCATGCCTAAGTTCTTGAACAACTATTTAAAGTTTTGAAGCCAGTAGATTAAGGGCGATTTTTATATGTTTAATATGTAACACGCGCTCAAAACTATGAGTATAATGTACCACTTGGTTATAACTACATAAAACTTTTTAATTTTTCAATCGGCAAACAAAGTTAGAAAGTATGTTTATTGCTTTGTCTGTAAAATTAATAATACTCAGATGAAGACAGTTTGGACGGAACGCTAAAGAGAAAATGATGTTTGAAGTTCAGTAAATTTTGCTTATATTGCTGTAAACATGGTGTCCGTTTTAAAGCATCATTGATAATTGTATTTTAATGGTAATTGTTTACATTTACTTACAAGAATACACAAGGTAGCTAGCTGTATGGACTAGAAAGTTGTAGAGCTAATTAGCTCAGCTAAAAAGTATTTTTGATAGGTACGCCAAAAAGATTTTAGGTTTTGAATGCTTTCCTTCGCAAATACGTGCATAGAAAAAAAAAATGCCACTTACTATTTTTCATATTCATGATTTTAGGTCGACTGGGATTATTCTATGGAAACAAGACTTCATCTCAATTTGCTGGTTGGCGAACAACGTTACATCTCCCTGGTGAACTCACAGATAATATCCTTTTAATGCTGCGAGCATAAATACGAAATGGCTGTGTCTTTGTAAAGTTTATTTTGTATATTCATAGTATGGAAAGCCCATAAATATGCTAGCAGCAAAAGTGCTTACTCCACGTTAATGTTGTGCTGTGCTGTGCTGTGTTGTGATGGTGTACATGCATGGTGATTGATTTAGATATGGCTTGCTTTACCTTGTTTGCTTTTTGCTGCTTGGTTCTCTTTGCACCAGCATTATTTGATCGTTCGAAGCGAGAGGAAACGACACTTCATAATGGTATAAACGTGTCCCTGAGTTCCTTATATGGCACAAACGTGTCCCAGTAGTAATCATGCTACGATGTAATAAGATTGCTTTCGCACGTGAAATTTTGAACAGATCACATGCTACAGAACCCAGACAGCTGATTGGGTTGTAGGGTTACAACGGCCACATTGTCATTTATCCTACTCTTCTAATTTCAGTGGAAATCTTAAAATCACGGACATTGAATAAAATCCTGCCATGATTATTGTTTAGTTAGCTTTGATCAGTTTGATGTAGGTACATGTTCTTTGCTGTTCTACTGTTTGGTTATCTGTCCTTTTATTATTACCACTCGTTACAATTGTGTGTGTTATGATGTGTGTGGCCTTGATTGATTTCCACTGATTGGTAAAGTTTGAGCGGTATTGTTGTTGTGTATAGACGTTTCCTTGACAACCTCTTACAGTTACAAATTGAACTTAAACCGGTGGCACAAACAGTAGAAGGAGGCGCTCAAATACAGCAGCAAGTCAGCGTTGAATGTGAAAACGACTTTACAGAACAACCTGTATTGGATATAGCGTTTATGTAAGTAGTTTTCATGCATTATTAGTTAAATTAATGTACATTCACCAACATTGTGAAATATATACTTTCAATCGAAGTGTCGGGTTAAGGTCCTGGGGCCGGTTGTATAAAAACGTAATTAGCGCTAACTGTAGTTAGCGTTAATCACTGTAGTTAAATCCTTAACTGTAATTAGTGAACTACATGACTTAACTGCGTTGCACAAAACGTAGTTAGTCGGATAGTTAACTAATCACGTAGTTAACTGTGCGTGGGGCTTGCGTGGGGCGTTTAAACACAAAATTACATAAAGTAAGCAGGGAGTAACGACCGCTGACACACATTTTCAACATGATTGTGGACTCGTATTTTGCAAATAGGCGGGAATTTTATTCAAAACACTAGAAAACAGTGAAAAATAAACAAGAAAACAAGGAAAAACCGCCACAAAAATCATAAAAGAATGCAGTTTTTCCTTGAGATGTCTACGTTAAACCAAGGTATAGCTGTTTGGCAATTATATATCAGTGTTTCTTGGTGTAATGGACCATACTTCGTCTTCGAGAAATCGTCCTGTGCAAAAATATGTTCTGTTTTCGTAAAAACACCAAAGCGATAGCGTTTGAAGAGTTTATATTGTCAGGAAACATTCACAGGGAAGATAGCGATTGAAAATCTCAGGTAACCGTTGCTTTTCATTGTTGTTTTACTGAAAAATGTTGTTCACTCCTATACAAACGCCATTTTTAACTACGTTTTGGACAGTTAACTATACCCTAAAGCATAGTTAACTTTAACTACTTTTTAACTGCAGTTAAGGCTAACTACACTTTTATACAACCGGCTTAACTACGTGATTAAAGTTAACTATTTTTTAAGGCTTTTTAACTACTTTTTAACTGCAGTTAGCGCTAACTACGTTTTTATACAACCGGCCCCTGGACGCGGGCTATTCAAGGCAATTTTGTTACTATATATTTGTCTTGTCTATATGAACGAAAATGGATAATACGTGGTGCAACTTTGCTTACAGGGTTCGTATAAAACTTGAAAATCCTTGAAAGTCCTTGAATTTGGAAGAAAAAATTCAAGGCTTTGAAAGTCCTTGAGCTTATGAAGAAGTGCTTGAAAGTCCATAAATTGATCCTCCTTTAGTGGATATTAATTTTCTGAAATTGTTTGGCGTTAAGAATTGGACATTTTGTAACTTGATTTTGTTCATGTCTTACAAAGGCCAAAGCTGTTTGAAATTCATTAAAGTTGCCGTTTAAACAGTTTAACGTCACTTTTTACTGATTTCTAACGCCTTCTTTTCAGCTGTAAGTCCTTGAATTTCCTGATACATGACCTTTAAAAATCCTCGAATTTAACTTCTTCCTGACCTGTACGAACCTTGTCAGCTTAGTAATCTTATTACCCTATAGAACAGTTGAGTTTTCTGTCCTAAAATGAAATGACTACAAACTACTCGTATACAGGTTCTACATTATATCAAGGAAACGGAGCGTAGCATTACTCACACATGGGCTCGACTTCATTCTTTTGAAAACCGACAGACACGTCGAACATTACGTAAGATTGAAATTAAGATTCAAAAGAAATCAAATAATGGAATCGAGGCTATGCGTGTATAATGCCACGCTCCGGTAATTCGGCAAATGGGTACGTGTTTTTGATGTTACTCATATAATTTGGTAGGCCTGCACTCATTTGTATGTTTACAATAGTGCTTGCTATTCACTAATTTAGGGTTTTTTACTTTTAGTGTAAATGGAATAAATCAGAGAATAACGTTTAAATTGCCCATCTTTCTTAACAAGTTTTTGAAACCTTCTGTCATGGTCGCACAGGACTTCTTTTCTCGTTGGAAACAATTATCAAAGTAAGTACCGAAATCATAGACATATATAGGCGCCCGACACCGAATTTGGCATGAAACCATGGAATCCGAGGTTTTTGTCGAGTTGTCCTGTTTTCATTTGCTGAAATTATTATATTTTTCGTGTTTCGGCGAAAATACATGTATGTCAAGCAAGTAAGGTATTCAAAATCGTAATTACCGTACTTGGTCTAATAAACACTTCTTATATAACACACACCCGGATAATATTCTGACATGTATTGGCATGAAACGTGATCGGACTAATGAGACTAGGGAATGTTCGAGTCAATTGTAGTGTTTGTATACGCAATTATGCTTGTTTTTTATAAATCGTGGATTCAAGTTGCATACTGAATATCTTTCATAAAGTACAGGTACTTTATGTACTTCATTTTAAAGGTACACCTTGAGTCCTGAAGCACCAGTTAGGTCGATGTCAAATTGCTGTATACACATAATAATAAATTTGTAACCAAAGCACATTGTTTAAGAAATAGAAAACGAGTCGCGTGCGTTTATGGTGTGATAATGCACGCGGGGAATATTGGGAGAATACGAGAGAAGCGTGTAAAATACGAGGCGTGGCCGAGTGTTTTACACGCTTCTCGAGTATTCTGCCAACATTCCCCGAGTGCATTATTGCACTATAAACGCACGAGACGAGTTTTTCTATTTCTTTTGTAATATAAGTAGAAGATAATACATAGTAAAAAATTTACTCAAAAGATCGACGTTGAAATTCTCCTAACATGTACTCAGTGACGTCACGCGCATGCTTTTCCTGTCGCTTGAATTTTTAAGCAAGCGAAGGAGCGAAATTGCCAAAACAATACAAACTTTTGATGCTTTAAAACTGGAAAGATTGTTTGAAATGCTGGAAATAAAAACAGTGATACACAGACTAAGTTTTTCAGCATTTGGGCTGCTGGATTTGCCATGAAAGACGTTAAATCATAGGTTTTGTCGTGTTGCTCAGTTTTAAATTTCGAAATTATTGTATTTTTTGTCTTTCGCCGAAACTATATCTAGCACGCTTTTGCACGCTTTTGCCCAAAACCTGTCGAGACAACAACATATTGGACGAATGCCAAGCCAGTTAATTTTACACGTAGAACTATAGAAAAATTGCTTTGTTCCTTATTTGGTCTCTTCCTTCTTGCTTTGTGATACATTTTATATTTTAGAAGCTCTGTAGTTTTGTTTATATTTTTGGCTAAAAAGCAGTGATGAAGAGGGGAAAAAAACAGAGAAAGAGCAAAGCAGTGCCACAGATCACAGTGCATTATTGCGTCACAATGCACGCGCATTAGCCAATCAAATCGTCTGTTATATCACACTTATATTATAATTTCTTATAGTCCAGGCCAAGAGTCGCAAAATGTGTTTCAAGCAGCGTTTCCAATGGATGCTGAAACAGTGAAAACAAAGGTAGGAGACAACGTTAAAACAGCGATAGATATTATGTTAAGGAAAGCTCTCTTATATATCTGAATTGCTTGGAAAATTGTTATTTGTTGAAGACCAAACAGTATTGTACTTAGTTAAAGAGTTGGAAATTTTTCTGATGGAATTATGTGACTGTCATTGCTCTGACTGCAAGAACGTTCATTGCATGTTTTCAAGTTAAATTACTTAAAAGCCAAATTATCCGCCATGGAAATGGCATTGTTGGCATATAGCAACCGCTGTCATGTAATTTAAAAAAAAATCTAAACCCATATGTTGTTTTGTATTTTTCAGCTACTTTTTACGATTTTTTAAAAATAAATAATTGTGTTAAAAATAAATAATTATCGCTTTTCAAAGACTGTCCTTTATACAGTAAACAGAAAAATACATGGGTGCTTGGAAATACCAGATTTATTTCTCGTGTTGAACATGATATCATGTTCAACACTCGAAATAAATCCGGTATTTCCAAGCACCCATGTATTATTCTCTATATAATCACCTCAACGGCAACCAATCAGCGTGGAGAATTTTCAATAATCACCTGTGTAATTATACTAATTCAAAATAGTAAAAGAATAAAAAGTGCATATATATGGACCAAGGCTCACCGCCGTTATTTTCTAGTTAAAAATGTTTTCCCTGTACAAGACTGCCTGTACGACAATAACCTCTGGGGAAGGGGGGATTAAACAGCAACGATAAAATAAAATATCATGTCACATTTTTGAAATATTTATTGTGATAAAGAAACGTTTTCTAATTTATATTTTAGCTGATTGGATTTGGTTGTGGCGTATTGGAAAATGTTGACCCGAATCCAGAGAACTATGTTTGTGCTGGTATAGTAGGCACTAAGGTCACTCAAGTCGGTGTGCTTATTCGATTGGAACCAAATTTATCTTCACAGGTAAGTATCTTGATTCGCTTTTCTTGGGCAGGAATCAAACAGGCCCATATAAGGCCAAAAAAAATATGTGGGTTTCCGGTTTCTTCTTATAAAAACTTAGCCTTAGGTAGGGTAGGTCGGTTTTAACTTTTTTTTTAAACTTTTTAAAAAATTTTCTAACAACCGGACGCCATTTTGTTTAGTCAGTGCTTCCACATCCAAAGATAAATTTCCCTAATATTGCCTCAAATTTCAATTTTCCACAAACTTTTTCCTCTAAGTGGAAACACTTACAAGCATGATCCAATAAAAACGTTTAGGGTCGGGAAACCGGAAACCCATATATTTTTTTTGGCTTAATCTATCCTTCTTGCGTGGCAGCAAAATTTAAAAATATGATTTTCTTGTTTACATCCAATTTACAAGTTTCTGTACAAGAAACCATCGCCATTTCAGATCAATGCCACTGCCAGTAACATATTCGAGGCTGGACACGTCCTGTTAATTTACATTGTTTTTGGCGTGTTAAACTAGGCCCGTTTAGACAATCCGACATCATCCAAATTTATTGGTCCAACAACCGCTAACAGCAAAGGGCGAACTTCAAATCGCATTTGTTGATCAGTTTACGACGGCTAAGTAGCTAACTTATGTATGGTGTCCTAGGAGCGACATCAACATTTTTGTTTCATTTTTAAATTTATTTGCATTCAATTTACTTTTAATGTATTTTAATTTTTAAAAGTTATCTTTTTCTTGTTTCTATTTTGTTTTAAATTATTTTAAAACGTTTCAACTCAGTTGGTTTTAATTTAAAATTAATGATGTCTAACTGCCGCAGAGAGACTGGAGAGAGCATGCGCCTCATTTGATAATCCTGGTCAGCGGTAGATCACGTTAATGCACTGAGCTATATAGATATAATCACAGATTAAGAACAGATGTGTAACTTCGGTAAAAAAGTTGTCCCACGGTCGCCATCTTCCTATCAAGTGTCGCTCGCGTGATAATTCGTCATTTGGTAATACGTCTTGCTATCAAAAATGCTTTCAACACCTTTTCAATAACTTTAATTGCTTTCAACAACTTTAAACATTCAACATTGATTGTTTAATCCAAAAATTTCGATCCAAAAAGGCCGCAATAAAGTGCAAAAAAATTAAAAGTTTGTGTTTTTCAGGACGCCATTTTGCTAGCAAGTGTGATGGCGTGAGCATGACGTGTATGTACATCTAGGGAAATTTGAGGACACGAAGTCACAGATATAGGCTACACAGTTGCCCAACTTTTTGGTTTTTCCTATGATTTTCCATTATTTCCAACGATTTTGGCGTAACCGTAATTCGTCATCAAAATGCTGACGCCATGGTCCTAACCAGTGCGCGTTTGAGAGACATTCATCCCCCTGATAATATTCAGAATGGCGGACATCCAGGGAGGGTGCTTCTCATAAGCGCACTGGCTAGGACCGTCAGCATTTTCATGACGAATCATGGCGTGGCAGCGGTTACTCGAGTCGACCTTCCGTATATCTTTTCGTATGTAGCGGTTACTCGAGTCGACCTTCCGTATATTGTCTTTATTCTGTGACGAAGTCCTATTAAGTTTCACATCTGGTCATACTTAATCTGTGATTTAATGTCTCTTCTCGGACATGAGGATTTTTTTTTAAATCGTCATGTCCGAGAAGAGACATCATTAATTTTTAAATTAAAATTCAACTGAGTTGAAACGTTTTAAAATAATTTAAAACAAAATAGAAACAAGAAAAAGATAAATTTTAAAAATAAAAATACATTAAATGTAATTTGAATGCAAATAAATTTAAAAATGAAACAAAAATGTTGATGTCTCTCCTAGGACACCATACTTATGCGCGCTTCGGTTTTAAAGTCCTATCTTCGAACGGCTAACTGTTCACCTCAAAATACAATTCGAAGTTCGTCGCGTTGGTGATTAGAGGTCCACTGTAAATGTCAATCTTATATGGTCTCTATTGAATGGAAATTTTGAACAAATTTGGAGATCCTTCATCTGGCAACATGACCAAGCATGGTGTTTAAACAGACCCAACATGTTGCCAACCAACAATGTGAATGGTCATTACAAGCTCTGGGGTACACTAGAAATCGGTAAACAGCTTCGTTTTGTTTGGAAAGTGAAAACCCTGGATAAAAACACTCACAATTGTTTTCGAAATATTCTTGTGAACTTCACAAAGATAATGGCAACGAAAGTTAAGATGAAAAAAATAATAGTCAATTTTAAAATATCATATCCATGTATGTTAATATTACGTGCTGGAGGTTACAGCAATTAAAACTTCAAAATGATAAACTAATTTACTAAATCTAAATCCTCTACCGCCAATAAACAGTCGGACGTCTAGCTGTATAATCTAAACTGTCCTCTGGGAGAGGACTAAGCAAGTGATACCATCCATACATTCTCTTCATTAAGAAATAAAATTCAAATATGCTTATGAAAATACTGTAATTGAGAAATGTATTTTAAGTCAACGCTAAAAATGTTTCTTTTTTTTTTAGATGTATCGTCTCACTATTCGTACACCAAAACCAGCAGTCTCATCTCATCTTTGTGAAATATTGAACAATCAATTGTAACGTACAGCAATGACGAACATGACTGAATATCTTTCGCACAGCGGAACATCGCGAGTCCTTGGTTTATTACGGCCCGACGTATTTTTATAAATACATTTTAACATGCCTTTATAGATAGACAATGCAATAATCCATCGTGATTGGAATTTAAAATGCCCAAATCAATGACAGCCAAATCTATGACAACGTCATAGTAATTTATATAAATTGTCCCAAATAGCTGTGCTTAGTAATAATGATTTTAAGAATGTGTTTAGGTAACCTCTGTCCGTGATTTCTCTAATTGTAATCAGATTCCCAATGGTAAATTATAAAATATCAGTATCCAAGCGTGCTTTTTTCTGTTCTTAATTAAGGGGGCAAGCTTCTAGCATGTTAGATATAATTTTAAAGGGATATGGTAATAAAAATTAACTTTATCTTATTTGAAAGAACTTTTAAAGTTATATATGAAGACCCTTTATATAATAACTACAGTGAAACACGCAATTTGATTGGTCAACAGCCGTGCAGGATCAGACAATCCTGCACGGGAAATTCTGAACAGAAATTCGTGGGCATAATTTTGCAAATATACTCGCATTGTAAAGTTTCATTGTACGATACCTTTCGACTTTGAAGTAAGTTTCCAATTATTGAGACGTTGGTTTAGTTGTATGAATAAATTTCTGATCAATACATTGCTATTCAGCAAGTAGCAACGCGTAGCGTTGAAATTCATCAGACCATGGCATGCAAGTACAGCATCTCTCGCTTCAAAGTTGATCAAACACTTCGCAATCTTCACATATTCAGGTCGAGAATCTTGAAAACTACTTTGGCTCTCTGTTTAGCGGGTTTTCCATTTCAAATTTCGTATATTTTATCGAAAAAGTCCCTGTATTTTCGCTGTATATTTTCGCGAATTTGCGATCAAATTCTGTTCACATATGTTGTTGTTTTCAATAGCGTGGACTAGCGATTCTCTGATTGGTTAATTCACGAATGTTGTGAGAACTGCACATTTCATCAGTAATTTTAATCAAGTTAAGCGTCGTTTCACTGTAGTAATTTTATAAAACAATTACCAAATGGTTTTCCCATGCAGGATAGCATGATCCATGCACTTGGGATGTTGCTCGACTTTCGGAAAGCGTAAAAATACACTCGCCTACGGCTCGTGTATTTTTACGCTTTCCGAAAGTCTCGCAACATCCCGCGTGCATGGATCACGCAATCCTGCACGGAAAACCATTCGGTATTCCTTTATTGCAACTTTTTTGTACCTTACTTGGTTTTCGGAATATTTTGACCAAAAACAGTCCGCCATTTTGGTATTATAATTGCCTAATTAATCGAGTTTTTGATGACGTCACAAGCAGGGTAAAGTTGTTAAAACGTTTTCATGTGGGACTAAAGTTCTTCAAAACGTTTCTTAAAATGTTGTGAGTTAAATTGAGTACTAAAACGACTTCGGAAAATCGAGTTTCATATTGATAATGACACGTGGTTTGCAAGATAAAAATTTCGCTTTTTACCTTAAAATGGCGGAATGCACTCTGCTTTTGATAAAAAAAGGCGATTTTAATATTTCGAAAACCAAGCAAGATACGGAATAATTGTAAAGGAAGTTTATATATAATTTTAAATGTTCTTTCAAATAAGACACAAACTTAATTTGTATTGCCATATCCCTTTAATGCTTGTAAGCAGATGAAAACGAAAAAGGTGTCTAGACCAAGATAAATTTGGAGGCGTCGTGTAATGTTATGGAAGGCATGTGCAAATTTGAAATCACCATTGAATGTGAATTATATTCGACCGTATTCCCAATTTTCGTTCGTCCTCAGCATCTTGTTTTTATAGCCTGGTTTCTATTTGGTTGTAACTCGTGATCACAGTCAACATTGTGAAATAGTCTTGGTCCATATCAGGGCGCTCATATACGCCCTCGTCCATATCTTGTCTTTTGTGCGCTGTTATACTTGATTTGTCCACAACAGTAGCGACTAATGGAACCATGCATGCTTATGGTTTTAAAATGACATTTAACATGCTGGCACAATCATCTGTGTGCTTCATTCACAAACGCACAAATGGATATTCCAGTGATGTAGCTTAGCGCCTGCCCGGGGCAACTAAACATTACGGGCAAGTTAACCTGAAGTTCAGGCCCTATCACAGAATAGGGCCTGAACTTCAGGTTACGGGCAAGTAGAAGTTGCTTCTTGGTTGCCCGATAGCGCAAGTTGCTTTGTCAGAAATTAATAAATTGTTCGCTTGTTTATGGTATGCATTCTTTATTTGTAAATGGTTTCCATATGGCCGTAAAAATAGAGTCACGATCTTTCTCATTCTCGTACCCAGAGCCCTTCTTACGCGCGGTGCGATGAGGGGCTCTGGCCAAATCATAACCGGATACCATAAAAACATGGTAAGAAAACAATATCCGGTGTTAGAACTAGCCAATCAGATGCCAGTTCGGATATGGATTTTGCCAGAGCCCCTCGTCGCACCGCGCGTAAGAAGGGCTCTGGGTACGAGAATGGATCTTTCTCAACAGCAACCTCGTACCCAGAGCCCCCGTGTTTAAAGGTTCTGGTACTACGAGGTTGTCTCAACAGCCAGTTTATAATAGTTTATACCTGTAAACCACATATAAATCATTAGTATTCTCTAGTTATAATCACTCCGCGTATTTTCAGTTCTAAAATGTTGTATTTCGGCTGATGAGAAAGATCGTGACTCCATCTTTACGACCGTTACGACCATATGGAAACCAGGCTTAGCTGAAATAAACACTTCATGATTAAGTCTTCAAATAACTTTATTAAGGAAAGCATAAAATTAGAATGTTGACTTATCAATCCTTACTGCAATCAATTGCTTCACATTTGTTAATATGAGGGCAAAACTAGACCTGATGGCAAGTGAATTGTATTTCGGGCAAACAATTTTCATGTCTAGCTTGCTCTAATTGCATGTGGTAAAACTAGCCCACTACTGATACTGGAATTTCGAAGGATTTAGGTCTACAGGCCTTCAAGTCCACTTCGACGTCTACTCCACTGATATTGCACTGCGTTTTGTATTGCGGTGCCCGAACGACATTTGGCATTAGAAGTGTGGGATCGGATTGGAAGTTTACAATCTGACAACTGGTAATTTTTTGAAATCCGCTGATCCATTCCAATCCGAGTTTATTAAATCCGAGTTTATCCGAAAAAAATCCGATACAAGCCTTCAATAAAATAAACTTTCATTTAAACAGTCAAGTGTATAACCCTCGGTATAACCAACCTCGCAAGCCAGGGTCTTTACCGCTATGCGTGCGGAGGCGCTGGCTTGCGAGGCTGGTGTATAACTATATTTAAACCATACCTCCATTTTCTATGATTAAACCATAACTGTATATCAATGTCAAATTTCTGGATTCTAGACTCTAGTCTTTGCAGAAGCCAATTCGCAATCTCGCGTCGAAAGAACTCTGGGGCCGGTTGTATAAAAACGTAATTAGCGCTAACTGTAGTTAGCGTTAATCACTGTAGTTAAATCCTTAACTGTAATTAGTTAACTACATGACTTAACTGCGTTGCACAAAACGTAGTTAGTCGGATAGTTAACTAATTACGTAGTTAACTGTGCGTGGGGCTTGCGTGGGGAGTTTAAACACAAAATTACATAAAGTAAGCAGGGAGTAACGACCGCTGATAAACATTTTCAACATGATTGTGGACTCGTATTTTGCAAATAGGCGGGAATTTTATTCAAAACGCTAGAAAACAGTGAAAAATAAACAACAAAACAAGGAAAAACCGCCACAAAAATCATAAAAGAATGCAGTTTTTCCTTGAGATGTCTACGTTAAACCAAGGTATAGCTGTTTGGCAATTATATATCAGTGTTTCTTGGTGTAATGGACCATACTTCGTCTTCGAGAAATCGTCCTGTGCAAAAATATGTTCTGTTTTCGTAAAAACACCAAAGCGATAGCGTTTGAAGAGTTTATATTGTCAGGAAACATTCACAGGGGAGATAGCGATTGAAAATCTCAGGTAACCGTTGCTTTTCATTATTGTTTTACTGAAAAATGTTGTTCACTCCTGTACAAACGCCATTTTTAACTACGTTTTGGACAGTTAACTATACCCTTGGGCATAGTTAACTTTAACTACTTTTTAACTGCAGTTAATGTCTCAATCAATTCCATGGGTGCCCAACACCCCCCCCCCCCGGGCGTTTGTCGGGCTTTTGTCATTTTGGCGAAAAAACGTTGCAAATGCCCCAGTATGGGGTCCAAATAATGCAACAAAATCCCCACCCTTGGGGACTTACATTGACGCAAATGCCCCACCCTTGGCGGACAAAATATAAGTTTTCTGAGGATTTCTGATCCAAAAAATCGAATCCAAGCGATTCTGTAGCCATTTCGTTTTAAAACGTTTTTAATTAAAAAAAAAGGCTCAAAACTTTATATAGCAATATCAAACTGCAGAAGTCAATGTATCAACTAGGATGGACAAGAAAAAAGTCTTGTGTATGCCAGTGAACTCTATATGGGTGTATGTCCGCCATGATTAATTTGCGATACGCACGCTCGTGTAAACATGCGTACTAAAGTACGGCTAAATGGCGAAACAAGCGATAAATATTCGACTTTTTAGCCTCGAGCAAATTCCCCACCCCGGGGCTAACCTGCAGAAAGCAAATGCCCGACCCTGGGAACAAGTACAGTCGAGAATGCCCGACAAACGCCCGGGGGGGGGGGGTGGGCAACCATGGGATTGATTGAGACATAAGGCTAACTACACTTTTATACAACCGGCTTAACTACGTGATTAAAAAGTTAACTATTTTTTAAGGCTTTTTAACTACTTTTTAACTGCAGTTAGCGCGAACTACGTTTTTATACAACCGGCCCCTGATCTTTTATTCTTTACCAATAAGGATAGAGAATTAGAAATAATCAAAATGGAAACGCCCTGGTAATCGAAGTCCGACACGAATACGAAAATACTTACTGATCCGAGGTGAATATTATTGGTCCGAAATCCGAACAAATCGAATTGGTTTCGGATCGATACATTTTGTATTTCCACAAACTGACACACAGTTTTTAATTCAGTCCCCCTTGTTGGCAAAAAACGTCACTTGCTTTTGTCGCAGGCAAACCTGATGTACACGGGGATGTAGCGAAGCATCTGAAGTTGTGATTGATTTGCACGGTCATACCGAGTTTCGGGAGACGAGGGGGGTCCCCAGAAACTTTACATTTTTGAAGCTCAACGACTGCGCGCATTTCTGGCGTTTTCTAAAGCAAATTTGCAAACAAATTGGATGTAAATTGACTGCATTTTACAAAAATGGTTATCATTTCACAAAAATAATTACTTTACTACGCAAATTTTAACTGAAAATGTCAAAATTCTAACTTGAAGTTTACCTGATTTTTGCCTGAGTTTCACAGTTGGGGGTTTTACACCCCCCCCCCCCGGTCGCTACGTCCCTGGATGCACACACGTAAAAATGTCACAACTTTTCAACAATATGTGTTTGCAACAAGCTTGCAGCAAGGTCGTCAACAAGTTAGAACAATTTTATCAAGTTGCTACAAGTTTGCAATTGCAACTTGTTGACAATTTGTTGAATTGCAAGACAACAACAAGTTGTTGGGACAACTTGTAACAATTCTGTTGAGTCCCAACAACATTGTAGCAAATAGTCAACAAGGCTTTGCCAACTTGTCAATAAGCTGCGAACACATGCAAATAACAAATTGTTGAAACAGTCAAGTCTGCTGGCCGCTGCACTGGCTCCAGGTTTGTTACAAGTTGTGCATTTTTTCAAAGCTGACTTTGCACCATATGCTGCACTAGCCTGCGTTTCAGTCTACTTGTAGTGAAGTGGAACACAGGTTAATGTTGGACTGAATATCAGGATTTGTGGCATCTTATTCGATAAAACTATTAATTTCGATCTGATATATTTTTCTAACAAAATGACCAAATGTCTCGCCAAATAATGCAGTATTGAAGCCTCGACGTGTTTTATTATATCGAACAAAACAATTCTATAACAAAAAATGTATTTTAAGCGATAATAATACAGTGAGAATAATAAAGCGACAACATCATTTTGAACAAGGTATGTATTTGTTTTGCATTTAATTCGATAAAATTGATCCATTTTCGGTATTTTGGTATCATATAAAATAATGAATGTTTTCATTCGTGCAATGGTAAAAATATTTTCATTCAATGAAAGATTACCCAGTCATTATTTGTATATTATTCTATTTTTGGTGTCAGTTATAAATGTAAAATAACTATCAATAAAAAATTATCTGCACTCAGTGAGGTGTGTATTTCTTTAACTGTCCTGACTGTAGCCTGCTCGCAGCCCGAAATTTCGTTCAAAGGAAAATCGTTTCGGGTGGGGGCTGCTGAGCAGGTTATCCTGACTGTAGTGTCATCATAAAGTCCAATCTTCAAATTCCAGCTACCTTCCCCACCATCCTTTTGCTGTTTGTTTTACCCTCGATATCTAAAAAAAAAACAAGACAAAAATTCACTCGCCATGATAACCTTATTATACAGGAGCAGTTTACGACATTCTCCCTAGGGGTGCCAGGGGAATGCTCCCCCAGAAAATTTTTGAAATCTCTGAAATGGCATTTCCTCCGTTCTGGGGAAGATTTCAAATGATTACCTCGACGATTGAAATTAATCCAAACCACCCACAACAACTGTTTCCAACCAAGACTGCTGTGAAAAACCAACTCGTCTGCATTTACATAGGCTGTTGGGCTATTTTGAATTTTTAAATTAGCTGCTACGAGTTAATAAAGTACATTTTCAAGATATCTATTTAAATTAGATGTATACTACGGAGAAAGCTCTTCCACCTTCGTAAATTATGTTAATTAAATATCAAAATTAAAATTCCATCCGAGAGTTCTCTTTCATCTTTTGGTGACTCAAACGGCCTAGATCCTTCCCACCACTATAAAAACTATTTTATATGGTAAATATAAACAACTTAAAACCCCTGGGCTCTTTCCTTACCTCTTGTGGACTGAATTCTAAAATTGCCGAGATAGCAGCCACCATTTGCTGACGAACTGATTCACTATTTGTTAGAAGATATCGCAATATCACGTTCTTCAGGTATTCCAAATTAGCATTTTCACGCGAGCTTAAAAACGATTAGAAGACGGTTAAAAGATGAATAGGTGGATAACAACCATAATAAAAAGATAATAAAACGGCGGTTAGTGCCAAATTCAATGAAAGAACAAGATATTCTTTTGTTGATATACCAACATGGCTGCCGTGACGTAAAGTGCAATCGACCTACTATAGGTGTACAGGTGTAACGTCATAACTGGAATACGTGGTAGTGTAATGTATTCGAGTAACACAATTATCAGCATTCATTCAATTAGTATAGGTAATCGCATGGGGCCGAGTAAAATTAAGGTTTAATTTCACGCGTGTTTTCAAAGTTCGCAATTTGTGAAACTTTGAAAACACAAGTGAAATTAAACCTTAATTTTACGAGGATCTATGCGATTACTTGTTAATCATAGAGGGCAAAATTTATTGGTAAGTTAACTGTGAACTTGTCAAGTTCTTGAACCTCGTGCATGTCTCCATGTCTTCGCCTTTTCGCCGATGTTTTTTAATGCTGCCCTGCCTGCCCATTTCTTAAATACTCCAACCAATAAATTCGTAGTTTTTCTAGTGTTCAGGTTTTCACTAGAAGTTTTTAATTCTTCAATAACATAATTATCCGCAACAACAAAGCGAGAAGCCATTGTTTTTATTGCTATTTAAAACGAAAAACTTCCCGCGCTTGCGTCTCAGCCAATCAAGTACAAGTAATTTTGCCCTGAATTAAGAAAAAATGCCCTCCTCACTAGCCAATCATATTTGAGTAATTTTGCCCTCTATATGATTAAGAGTCAAATAGTCTGCAGTGTTCCAATTACAATGTGAGCTGATATTATGCAGAAAAAATATATGGCCAGAAAAGTGCAGGGAACGCCATCTTTATCGCTCATGCTAATGGTCTCTATATGGGTTGTGTGACTAATTAATAGGCGACCTTTTAGTTTAGTATTTTTACTATGGTCAAGTAAACTACAAAGAAAAGAGATAGCTAAAGCGTTTAACAATGCACTCTTTCGATAATTACGTCACAAATCTCTTCTTGGCCCGGGAGCCTCATTCTCATGACTCGTGAGCGAATTACCTTTCGTGGTAACGAGGCTCCCAGGCCAAGGAACTATTTGTGACGTAATTATCGAAAGATATCGTATTTTCAAGTAATTTATAATTCATTCGCATACCAATTGCGCTCTAATTTTCGAATCTCCTCCTTTAGCAATTCAACTTGTTCAGAAGCTTGTTCCTCTCTATAACAAAGAGCATACGTAAATGTAAATAACTGATAAATTCAATTCAACAAGAAATTCATTCTTTACTTATTTTTCTTTGCATGGTTTTTAAATTCATTTTCATGAAACATTCTTGAACTGCAAATCCATTGTACCGATAATTATTACCTAAGTCGGACTTCTTGCATAGTTTCTTCTAGTTCCCTGCGTTGTTTCTTTAGCGACATAAATTCTGCTTCGCAATATGCTTGCTCCTGAGCATAGTGTACCAAAGGTGACTGTTGTGTTTATAGGTGGAGAGATAATGAGAAAATAAGATAAAGACCTGTTCAAACAATTCCAACATCGTCCAGCAAATTTTAATTAGACCTAATCCAACACTACCCAACATTACCAAACATGATGTTCAAACAGATCCAACAAAGTTGGATGATGTTAGATCAACATGTTGGACTGGTTTGAGTGGGCCTTACAAGCTGGCTTATGTTAGCTTTGAGATCATTCTCTAGTCTCTGCGGAGCTGATGTCATGTCTACATATAGAAAAATATTGTCTGTGGGTGTGATGTCATAATTACGCGATATCTAACAGTTATTCTGTGAACTCGAGTCGTATATGAGCTGATTCCCGACGAGGTGCGTTGGCTATCATGCAGTCGTATACGACGAAAGTGAGTAGAATAACTGTTTTATTATATTTTGACAGTTAGTTTAGCAATGAACACAAGTTACAACTGCCTTGCCCTAAACCTGCAGAAAAACCGCTGCTGCTATTTCTTTAAATAATACTTCAAACATTACTAAAACCTAGAAATTTTTATTTATTTAATTTAAGGCTTTTAGACAAAACAAGTGCTTATTGATTTCACGTCTATAAAATTCACCTTATTTTCTTCAAAAAACTTATATTCCGTTGAAGTTTTTGTCTTCGCTCTTTCAGCATTATTTTTTTTTGAAATACATTTTTTAACTAGCTTAAGTGTTAAAATTGCTAACCTGTAAACAATTGCTGCAAGTATTTTCATTGTGTTTCTATTCCTCTTAATGCTATAAAAAGCAAATAACTTGCTGTTTTCTCGTTCAGAGAACGTCTGTAATTTTTGAGCCGCAATCTTGTTTTTTTTTTTCACTGGCAGTATATGAGCTAATATGCTGCTAGCAGAGAGCCAATTAAATTGCAGAATAACTCATATCTGGTAGTTGTCTATATAATAACAACAATTATTTGTAGGTCAGCAGCCAATCAAAAAGGAGATTTTATAAGTAATGCGTAATAATAGTTATTACCGGGCTTGACTGCAGCAGAAGTTCATTAACAGCATCATCTGAAGAACTAGGTTTCCTAGACAACATTGCTGTATTCTTCCTGTGTACAGACGATGACCCTGAGTGTTCTGTGGCAACTTTCTTCTTCAGCCTTTCAATCTCACAATCCTTCTCGTTTATCAATAACATTGTCCTGCTGCGCTGATTCTGCACTTGCTTCTCAAGCTCCTGCATTTTTGCGGCATAGATTGTTCGTTCACTTTCCAATTCCGAATGATGTAACTTTTGCAGATTTACCTTCTCGTACGCAAGCCTTTCTTGAAGTACATCAAGCTCACAATCTTTGTCTTCCAGCTCTTTTTGTAAGGACTCCACCGTCGTTTTAAGATCTTTAATCTGAGTTTTAAATTTTTCTGTATCTTTGCTGTTCGAGTCCGTCTCACTTTCAAGGCGAGACTTTCTCATTATTTGTACCTTGGCTTTATAACACTCAAATTCATCTTTTAATTGACGAAGTTCTTCACGACAAGCTTTGTGAGCAGGGTCGTTTTTGAGAATGCACTCCAGATCTGCCCTACTAAATCCAACATCATCTGCATACGTCGTGAAAATAAAACAAAAACATTAACCCTGTCTGTTAAAGAACACTTTCACATGTACATGCACATTTCATATGTCAAATTCAGAATGTTCAGATATGAAATAAGAAATTTAACTATTAATCAAATCCTTATCAAATCATTTTAGATACCAAGCATTGAAGTGCAAATATGAAAACATTTTTAACAAAAGAGATATTGCTCATACTATCCTTAACAGTTGCTTAAACGTGCTTAACCTGTTGCCGACCTGTTGCCAGACGTTTTAACAGTGGCAATCACAGAGTTTTATGAAAATCGGAGCCGTTTGTCCCGTTTTCCCATTTCCGGTAGCAATGATAGCCGTAAGGGACATCACTTTAGCTTTGCAACATCCGTCCACATTGCATTAACGATGCTGTACTTAGCTATATTCTTTCTTTGTCTGACATCAGCAGACATTAAAAGTATAATTTGCTTTCATACCGGGTGTCCCAAAAAAAAGTACTCCTGTTTGATTTATAATAACTTCTAAACAAGTAAAGCTATCAAACAGAAATAACTTGCATTACATATAGGAAGGACTAACTTAGATTTTGATATATTACAGTTGTATTTTACTTAAAAATTCACCGAGATATTAATGTTCAAAATCGGGAGCATATTTTCGGATGTGTCTAAAATTAGCGAAAATCGGCATATCAAATATAACTCCAGCGTTTCTTTGTTTAATGACATATCAGGCTAACTTGTATTTCAACGAATTGTCGTTAGGGTTTGTATAAGAGATATGGCGTAGATTTAGACATCTTAACATATATGCATGTAAGTCTTAGCTCATTGTTTCCTGAAATATGAATGTTCGAAATTATGCAAGTATTTAATAGGTCTTTACAAACTTAAAGGTACATGAAAGACCACTAAGGCAGGCTTAAATTTTTCTTAAATAGCCTAATTTTTTTATGTTTTTCATGGGTTAAAAACAGAGTTGATTATTTCTCGGTTAGAGCAGGATGAATATTATTCTTTAATGAAGGAAATAATATATTGCTTTTTGCAAATACACATCACAGTATATCGACGCTACTATTTTGTTACATTTTGTCCAAAAATGTTGGATGTCTCTGGGGAGTTGCTTGTTATGACTTATGGAGTTGTATGGTTTGATTGTGTTTCATTCTCAGTTTATTCTGAACTTAACAAGATAAACAAGATTAAGAAAAGGCAAAAGAGTTTGAGTTTTCTTAACAAGATTTCAGAACTTTGAAGAAGTTAGAAGAGCTTCACAATTCTATTGTGACAGCATGCCCTAATTCAGAACTATACGAACGCGGATATTCATGACGATCCTTCGCGATCTGCAGTGGTCTTATGAAATAAGGAAACGTATTCGTGCTAGGAACACATGCACACGGATTTCGGACAAATAAATCTTGCTTGTATTTTGTAGATAATAATACTTTGTTTCATAATAAACACTGATTTGTCAAATGTCATTTATTTACTGGTAATAGTGCATGTTTCACTCGGGCAAATGTTGATTAATATTTGTTACGCCGTTTTTTGCATATTTCAAACACATCCAGAAATATGCTCCCGATTTTAAACATTAATATCTCCGTGAATTTTTAAGTGAAATACAACACTAATATATCAAAATCTAAGTTGTTAGTCCTTCCTCTATTTGATGCAAGTTATTTCTCTTTAAAAGATTTACTTGTTTAGAAGTTATTACGAATCAAACCGGAGTACTTTTTTTTGGGACACCCGGTATACCTTTCCATTATCCTTATTTCTTCTCCCCTAACTTTCATACTAATATATTCTGAAATGTGATTTACATTTTTGTTTACAGTTTGTCTTGACTAAATCCATGCATCTTATTGGTTTATAATCATCACGTGATCGCTTTTGTATTAAGTAGTAAAAAGCACATGTGTCTTTCCCCGACCCACGCTACCAACTTGAAGACGAAGGACGCTCGCTCGAAACGTCGAAATTCTTTCTATATATTTCATGTAGTTGTATCATAATTATAAAAAAGTTCACAGTTCGTTTCATATAACTTGCCTTTTGCTCGTGTCGTATATTTAATACAACACAGTTGCTCATATTGTACAGTAGTAAATATTAGTTATACGAGCAATTGAAAAACCACAGTGGATTTCTTTCAATTTGATACAAGGTTTTGTATATACCTAAAAGGAAATGCACTTACCCGATTCAGGAATTTCTTCTCGATTTTCAAATCGAAACCGTAGAACATCCTTCAATTTGCGAAACACGTCGTCTAAATTATCATTATCCAAGTTCAAATCATTTTCCAAATTCCGATTGTCTGACATATTATCATCCTTAGGTGTTATGGTGAACATATGAAGACGATCTTTTAATTTTTTAATTTCCATCTGATCATGTGATCTTAATCTCTCGTATTTACCAACCACATTGGACAGTTCTGACAGCTTGGCCTCTGTCAAAAGAATTCAAATAATTTTAGTTTAAAATATAATTATTTTGTTTCGAGGAAAAGGGCGCAGCTTTGGATCTGCCAGACCAAATACTCAGTAAATAAATAATGAAGATCCAGGCTCAAAGGTCGAAAATTTTGCCAAATAGATACACCTGTTCAAAATTCATATGCACTGTAAATACATTTCTGATGTTGAGCAGGATATGAAGAATTATTGGCCGAATTTTGTGTTATCTGCCGAAGATGAAAGTTGTTATTTATGTTAGAGCGTGCATGATTATATGATCCCGGCTATGTCCCGTCCCGTCTGGTTGGGATAATATAAAAAGGCCTTTGAAAATAAATAGAAGACATCGCACCTGTAGGTTAAATTCTTCGCAAATAATTACAAGTTCTCTTGCCATTTGCAGGAAATGTGTGCTCGTCTCTTTCAAATATACGTCAAAAATATTTCCGCGCCTTTTGTCGCTCTTTTGGTTTTATCTAGTCTTTATTTTTAAAGACTAAATGCTTTCCTTTAGTCTGCATGCAAACGGTCGAAGGTGACGCCATATTGTTTTTGTTCGTGCTTTCACATTGCTGCAAAAAATGGTCGTTTCATCGTCACGGTGTGTATTCTTTTTTTCACCAAATCAACCAATAGCAAAGAGCTGCTATTGTTGTTTGGGCCAGGCTTTTAGCCAGGGTCCTAAAAGAGGGCGTCCAATTTCATTGTCCATTTCTTTACATAACATATTCTTAAGGGATGAAAAATGATGGAAATGAAATGAACATGCCGATAGAGTTAGCTGCAGGTCATACAGATAACATAGATAACACGATATCTTGTTAGCTTCCATATCAGCGATTGCGTTCCAAGTTGCAGCAAAAATTGTGTAAGATGACTAAAATAAATTTCAATAATTAAAAATAGTGTACACGTGTTATACTTACCAAGATCAGCTACACGTTGTTCTTCAGCTTTGGCAACCAAAGACGCCCTACGCTCAGCTTCATTTGCGCGTTGTTGTTCGGATAAGATATCCTTCTCCAGCTGTAATTTTATTTTTTTCATCTCTTCCTCCAGTTTTAGTAGCATTGATGGTGTATCCGAAACCTGGATACATTTATCTAAACTCTTTGTTACATTAGATTCTAGGAAATAAGGAAATATATTAAACTTAGCTCATTTCGCATCCAGTCGACATCCATGGTCTATTGGAGGATAGACTTGAGGATGACGCCATTTTAGTGATGAAATATCTTTAAGTTAATCACAGGCAAGCAATGGCATGATGTGTTTTGTATAGATCATGTATTATCACGTCAAGTCGTGTGTAAATTTCGTAGCTTTTTCAACTTTCTTTATTATGCAAGGTGTCCCCCCAAAAAGCAAAATCCAGATTTTACACAGCTAATTATCAAGGTAATAAACAGCTACACTGGAAAAAAATTTGGAAATCCATAAAATGGAAATTGTATGGACCTTTATTGGAAAAAGAATGGATTTTTGATTATCCATAATAATTGTATATTTCTATACTATGGATATAGTATCGAAATAGTATGGATATAATATGGATTTAGTGGTGCAATTGCAAATCTCATAGTATGGATTTCACATTTTCCCCCCATAGTGCTAAATGCACATAAAAGACAAATAGTTTACTGTTACAGCTGTTTGAACGTTTTTATACTCAACACAACTGATGCATGATTTCAAAAGTCCATTGGATGAACCAAGCTTTCTTTAAAGGGAAATGGCAATATAAATTATTATTTTCTCATTTGAAATAACTCTTGAAACTATATATTAACTTCTTTTACCGATTTTTCATATCTTGCTTAGTTCTTGAAATATTTTCACCTGAATTATTGAGATGTCCGCCATCTTGGTTAAATTGTTTCACGCCACAACAGGGATTAACCATATAAAAGTACACGTTGCTGACCAAATATTGATTGGTAGATGTTTTAAAGGTTTTGAGTGATCCTGATATTTCGAAGGGCAGACAGAGTATAGTTTTGAGTGCAAAATGATTAGTGTTTGTCTAGATAAAAA